CCAACCCCGCCGCGGCCCGCGGGGGCGCCGAACCCGCTGCCTCCGGAGGCGCCATGTCCAAGATGCCGGCCAAGAAAAAGAGCTGCTTCCAAATCACCAGCGTGACCACGGCGCAGGTGGCCAGCAGCATCACGGAGGACACAGAGAGCCTGGACGACCCCGACGAGTCCCGCACTGAGGATGTCTCCTCTGAGATCTTTGACGTGTCGCGGGCCACTGACTATGGCCCTGAGGACGTGTGTGAGCGGAGTTCCTCTGAGGAGACCCTCAACAATGTGGGTGAGGCTGAGACTCCTGGGACAGTGTCCCCCAACCTCCCCCTGGATGGGCAGCTGGTTGCCTCAGCCCCGGGAGGGGCAGCAGCTGCCAATGGGGGGGCTGTGCCCAAAAGCACTGCGGTGCCCCCAGTGGCCCTGGCCCCAGTGGCAGGGGGCAGCAGTGTCCAGGTTCTGTCCTCTGTAGCAGGAGCTGCTGCTCCTGGGACCGTGGCAGCAGCCGCGTGTAGTTCACGCTTCAGGGTGATCAAGCTGGACCATGGCACAGGGGAGCCCTATAGGCGGGGCCGATGGACGTGTATGGAATACTACGACCGGGACTCGGACAGTGGTGGTGTCCTGGCTAGGACTGGAGATTGCATTAGACACAGCAGCACCTTTGATCAGGCCGCTCAAGAAAGGGACAGTGGGCTGGGTGCCACGGGAGGCTCTGTAGTGGTCTCGGCCATGCCATCCTCAGCACACGGCTCTGAGTCTATAGCTGACAGCTCCCTTACTGCTGTGTCACAGCTGCTCCAGACAGAGAAAATGAACCAGCCCTCTCCACAGCAACCTAATTTTGTCATTGGGCAGCAGCAGCAGCCTGTAGGCGGGGCCATGCCACAAAGTACTGCTCAGCCCATGTATTCTGGGGCTCCAGTAGGAAGTCAGCAAATGCTGGTGCCGCCGCAACAATCCCAGCCGCAGGTAAATGCACAGAGTGTTGTACAGGCTGGACCCAATGGGAAAGGCATGCCACCTCCGAATGTAACGATCTCCCAGCCTAGCCTGACGGTACCGCAGCAGCAGGTGCAGCCAGCAAATGTCCCTGTGAGTCAGCCTCAGCAATTTGCTTATTCTCAACCCCAGATTCCTTCAGTACATCTACTGCCGACACAGCCTTCTGGTCAGGCAGAATACATGCAACATGTGACAGTTATGCAGTCTCAAGGAACTATCCCACAAGCTACTACAGGCTCTGTTCCAAGTACTGGGGCTTCCAGCCTTCCTGTGTGCCAGGTGGCTGCCCAGAATCCCTCACCAGTGGGAGCACCAATGATGGGCGTTTCACCCCAGCCTGGTGAAGCAGTGGGACAGGGATCAGGATTAATGCAGAGTGGCCAGGCACCTTCTAGTCAGACAGCCATTCCCCAGCAAGGAGGTGTGG